CCCGAAACCCTAAACCTTGACTATAACCTTTGGGGTGTAGCTTGGTGCAGTCTACAAGTGTCAGAACCTCTGCATCCCAGATTTGCTTAGCGGAACCCGGCTTGATACTCGGTCTTGAGCTTAAAGAAATTAGGGTTTAAGGGTTTAGGGTTTAGGGTTTTGCTTAGCTTCAGGCAAGCTTTCCTGAGACCCAGAAAGTTCAGAATCTCTCAATTAGGGACCATACCATAGATGACACTGAGGATCCCTAGTGTGATGTAACATTAATGTCCTAATTAAGGGACATTAGGCCTTCTGGATACTGCAGCTCGCGTATCCTGTTTCCAGATGATGACATGCCCTCAGCTTTGACACAGACATGCGGGAGATTGCCCGGAGCATGGTCGTCCATTATCCGCCTATTTGGGGAATGCCGGGATGCTGTATAATAAGAGTTCTCAGAAGGCTAAGAGCGTCGGGCACTTCCCCTTTATCTTGCATGGCACTGCTGGAGTGTGGGTCGTAAGTCGTCTTGGCCCGGCCGAGTGCCTGTGCCGACCAATGAAAGACCTTCCGGCAAGTTATGACAAGGTGCGTGCTTAGCCAGTCTTGCAATTGCCATCAGAACAGCTTGCGAGTCGAAAATTTGAAAATGGATGTGCTGACGGCCTTGTTTGTTAAGGGTGGTAAGGTCTTGCTCTTCTTGTTCTTCTATGGTTATTGGGGGCCTCAAAACAGGCCGTTGTTTGGTTGGACCTCTTGCTTCGGGTGGTTTTCCCTAATAGTCGGAGGTTCCTTCACACCGTTCATGGATGAAATCTTGCGTCACCCTGAGCCCCTTAAACCCTGGGAATTGGGGTTTAGGGTTTGGGGATTGAGATTTAGGGCCCTAGGTGATGCAAGATGTCCTCCGTGCAAGATGTGGGCATACAAGTGCCCTAACTGGGACTATTGCCATAGCTCCACTCCCCTCATAATACCCCTGCATACACCCAAACATACACCCAAAATGGTAGCTATTCCTTGATCGCATACTAGTATGGCAGTATACTTCTAGGATTTGTTATTATGGGGTAGGGATTCTCCTAAACCTTAAACTTTTCAGGGGAGATGACCACTTGCCCAGGCATTCACCTGATTACCGCGCTGTAACTGGGTGCCTGTAAATTGTTCTTTCTATGCCACTCACCCCCACTTCCCTGCAAGGGGGATACTCGGAGTTTAGACAATTGCTTACATGTGTTGATGCGTACAAGCGTATATACATACAGGCACGCATTGACGCACCTGCTTAAATACCTGTGCCATGAATATGCACATACATACATACATACATACTGACTTACTTACTTACATCACGCCACATTGCATTACATTACATTACATCACATCACATACGTACGTACGTACATACCTACATACGCACCTACGTACATGCATACATACATACATACATACATACGTACATACACATGTGTGTGAAGCTACAGACGCTTACATGCGCAGTCACGACAACTCCCTAAGCCCTGAGCTCATACCCTCAACCCCACCCCAAACCCTTTGACCCTGAAACCGCAAACCCTGAACCTAAGCCCTAGACCCTCAACCCTTTGACCCTACACCGCAAACCTGCCGTCTCGGTACCCATCCCCAGACGAGTAGGACCCCATATAGGCAGTTTTCCAAAGGTAGTAATCTTCCACATGACCCCTTTGCATCCCTTTCCAGGTTCCATGTTAGATTCCGGTCAGGAAGACTGAAGCTACAACCAGATACTATCCCATAGTTCAATTTTTTGCTGATGTAGATGACATTAATGTTTCGATACGTGCCTGGTGCTTGTGTTGTTGCATTATGCTTATGGACTCCTTGCGTATCACTCTGGTCTAGGGTACCTCAAATAGACCGCACGGTCAATACAGGTAATTCAGAGTTTAGTGTTTAGGGACTGAGGGGGTCAGGGCTTAGAGCCTACAATCCATAAGCCTTAAAGTTTGCCACATATCCGAAGGTTCCATTTCATTGCTCATGTTTCTTTCCATCTGGTTCTTCATGAATTTTGCTGACTTAGGTTCCTGAGCCCTAAATCCTATAGATCTCTTTACTCTAAACTCTACTTAAGCCCTACATGCTACACCCTGCCCTAAACCCTAAAACCTTAGACCTGAAACCCTGAACCCTAAACCCTAAAACCCTAAACCCTAAAACCCGAAACCCTAAAACCTTAAACCCTAAAACCCTAAAACCCTAAACCCTAAAACCCTAAAACACCATGTTTTCGGGAGAGCGTAGGTGGTTTGGCGGGTGCCGCTTGCGGAGCGCTGGTGGCGGGACCCTGGGGTGGCGCCGCGGGCACAGGGGGATGCCGGCGGTTCGGGGTTCGCGGCTTTGGGGGCTTAGGGTATACTGGGATAATGGAAAATAAAATGGAAACGACTATTTATAGGGTCTACCTAGAGAATCGAAACCCTGAACAAAAAGTCGGCTCTGATTCGAGAATCCGGGTTTCAGAGACATGTTGAGCAAACCCCGGGTTTGAAAGTAGTATCCCGGGTTTGACAAATTTGGATAGAACCTCTTGAACCGAAACCACGGGTTTACCCGTGACAAACCCGTGATTTTGCCCGTGACGAACCCACCCGTGACCGCGTCATGGGTTATCGAGCCGTTGCCAAACCCCGGGTTTGAGACGAAACCCCGGGCCTGGAGCCTCCGCCGACTTTTTTCACGGTTTTGGATTCTCTAGGTAGGGGTTTAGGGATTTAGGACTTTGGGGTTCGGGGTTTGGGATCTGTATATTCTGCTGCGCACAATTCTTTCCCTGTTCCCTAGACACCCTAAAACCCCAAACCCTAAACCATGATGCCCTATACCCCCTCTACAGCAATTGAGGTAGAGTGCAGAGGTACAGGCCTTTAACGAGAGTTCCCCGTTCTGGGGAGCTACCTGGGAGGTGGTTTTGGTTTTTGGGTTGGGTTTTAGGGTGGGTTACGAAATTGCTCTTTGGCATGATCGTGTGGTCACTTGGCAAGCATGCCCAGTACCACAGGACATGGGAGTTTCCCCACATGATCCCTGTAGATTTCTTAGCACGACCCTCAGACTCGCCTCATAATCCCGATGTATCCGTCGGGCCCCTATGTGGCCCTGATTCGAGTTGGAGGTGACGCGGTTTCAAGGCTGCTGGCCTCACGCCACGGTGCCTTAATTTCTGTGCGGTCCCCATAGTTTTGCGCGGGACATAGTTACCCTCGTGGCGACTGTCCACTTCGACGCGGGGCAGGAGCGGCCGAAGGCGGCCTTGAAGAAGTTCTGCCAGGAATTCAAGGAAGTGAGTTCGGAACCCCGGCCCCCTACTTCAGGAACATGTGCTTCCAGGGCAACATCGACAACCGCCTGTAAAGGCACGAGGAGGAGCAGCCGGGCAGGTGCAGAATGCCTGAGAGGCGAGAGTATGAGGGCCGAAACGCCTGGCCCATAGAGTTGTTTTTGGGGTCGAATAGCTTAAGCCATAGAGTCCAATACCCCTTCGGCTACATCCCGAAGTAAGGGCTTACGGCTTAGCATGGTTAAGGGTTCAGGGCTGTACCTGCAGGAATTTTGCTTTTGGCTTGAGCTCTTCAACCCTGAGCACTTCTCATAGCTCCTTGCACTACAATCTCCCGCAGTCCCAAACTCTGAAAATCTTAAACCACAAACACTTGCCATAACCCCTATAACGGGAGCCGAAACCCTTACCGCCCTAAACCCCAGACTCTACTTTTAGCAAGTCTTCCGGCAGATGGAAATCGGTCCGACAAAAAAAACTGAAGCCCAGTCCCTAAAGCCTAATCGCTCAAACCTAAGCTGAAATCCTTAAACCTAAAGCTGAAACCCTGAAACTTCAAACCTAAACCTTAAACCCTGAACCTTAAACCCTAAACCCCTTGAACTTCATGGCACGTCCTCGCGCTCAGGCTGTGGGAGTCGGAGTGGGCCTCTACCTCGAGAAGTGCCCCAACCCAGCTTTTTGGGGTTTAGGGTTTAGGGTTTGGGGTTTGGGGTTTAGGGTTTAGGGGCTTAGGGTTTAGGGTTTAGCCTAGACCCCCCCAAGTACCCTAAAATAGGGTCTAGGTAGCTTCTATTTGGGGATACCTAGGGTCTATAGAGGGTACTTGGTGGGTCTAGGTAATCATGTGGGTCGTAGGATTTTTCTCTTAAAGGGCTTCTTTTCCACGTTAGGGTTCAGGGTTTTAGGGTTTAGTAGGTAAAAAATAATCGGTACATGGAACAATTACCTCCCTAAACCCTAAAGCCTAGTAACCCTAAACAGCATGACGCTCGGACCTGCTGAGGGGCTGCAGTAGCCTGGAAGTCTGACGTACCTGAGATGCAGGGTTTAGGCTGGATACAGCCCTTTAGGGTTTAGGGTTTTAAGGCGCATGGATTAATGGCTCAAGGCTCAGATTCAGAACCCTATAAGGCCTTATTACATTATTGAGCCTCATATAGTCGTTATTAGCTCCTTAAAGCCGGGACATTCAAGAACCAAAATGCACTCGGACACAAGTGAGTAGTGGTTCTTTTGGTGGCTGAACCCAGTAAGAGTATATTCCTTATACGAAAAACTATACCCCAAAAAGAGGATAGAATCTTGCTCTATAATGGGTACCATAGTATCCCCAAATAAAATACGACTCAAGTGGACCCAACAACCTACAGCCTACAGGCTGAGTCCTTCAACGAACACGGCCTGACTTCCAAAATCATCCAACACCCAAAAGACTGACATGTCCAAGAAGGAAATTTTGGGGACACTAACCATAATAACCATTATTGGAGGCAAGAACGGGTAAAGTCGCTATATTACAAGCCCTAAACCCCAAGCCTAAACAACATTTGGTAATTTTCGAAAAAAGTGGGACCCCGGTACAGACATACAAATTCTATAATCCTACTACGTGGACCCCCAAAAGGTACAACTGATCTTGGGAAACCCCCATTCTGCCCTGGCAAGACTGCATATGGACTGAGTCGGGTACTCCGGGACGATGTAACCCAGGGTGGCCAGCATAGCTACGCGTCCTTGGGCGTCAGGCAATCCCTTACTGTGGCTTGGGTAGCTTCAAGGTTTAGGGCAGGGTAAGGTTTTGGATTCGGACATTACTAATACCTTCAGGGAGAGTGGAGGAGTGAATATAGATACTAGTTTAAGGGAGTATAGGGTAGTTTCCCAAAATAGTGGGACCCCAATTTAGACCCCCCCAAATAGTATAATCCTTATTATAGGGACCCCCAAAATGGTTCCCCTAATTTTGGGAAACCCCATCTAGGGATATCGAATCCACATCCGAGAATCTCCTATGATGGACAGGTTCCATCTGCATGACTAGCAACATGCAGGTCACTAAGCGCTGTGAGAAGAAAAACACCCGAACATCTGAACTTCTGTCAGGAAAGGGGAGGAGGCTGCAAGTCGTCCAGGTAGGGACTCAGGGGAACGCCACCAGCGTCTCCTTGCCTGGGAACTGCTCGCTAGGGATATAGGGATCTACTCCGGCGCTCTCCTTCTAGCACCAAGAGTAATTAAGTGGGTTGCCTGCATAGAACCAATGTTGGAGATCAATCTCCGAAAGTCACGGAGGAGCCAAGCATTCCGGATTTTACAACCAAAGCCATTGAGATTGCTTTATCTGGCAGCCGGAGAGACTTTGTGTGGGGATTTGCGCCTTTTGGGGTGTATGCCCAGGCGCCGTTCTTGATCTCCGACGATCGGCGGCGGCGGAAGTCTTCGGCATCGTCGTCCTGGATAGCGGAAGCTTCTAGATCGCAAACCGCAATGCTTTAGCATGTTGCCGCACAGGCCTTGGCCATGCCCAGTGGGTCGAAGTACTTCATGGGCATCGTGACGCCCAGTTCGTTCTCGAAGGCCTTGCAGACCTGAATTATTAAAAACTGCGGGCAAGGTGCAGCGCAAGGCATGGGACTAATCTTTGGTAGAGGAACCGTGGTGGAGACCCTGCGGCTGCGCGCGGCGCAGGCGCCGGCCACAAGCAGTGCCGCGCCGGCGGTGGTCGCCAGGCTGGAGGAGCCTTCGGCCTGGGCGCGCGCGCCGCTGCGGAGGTGGGTCGCCGGTGCCTCATGTGGAAGAGCTGCTGGGTCTTCAATTTCAAGGCGCGGGGGGTACTGCAGGGAAAGCTTGCATGAAACATATCGAATCCGATCATGTCTGCCATCCCCAAACTTGTAAGCCCCTTTTGCGCCTGAGCCTGAGTGGTCCGCTGCACGCCAGGCACAAAGGCCTCGCTGCAAAGCCAGGCGCCCGCAGCAGCTGCTGCCATGACCGTCAGAGGCTTAGCCTGAGATTTGGGGCGGTTTCCAAGTCGGCTTGAAGGGTTACAGGGATATATCGGGATGTATGGGGGTCTGTGCCACAGCAGCACGTCCCACAGCACGATTGCACGCAAAGTGACTCTGTGGCTTTACACCCTATTCTGCGGCGCCGCATCACAGCCAACCCGAAAACCGAAATCGCCTAGCTCTTCAACTCCTAATCTTAATACTGTTCTTCGATGTAGGGTAAATGAAGTGCTCAGACCTCCTACGTCCACCATAGGACCCCGCTCCCCCAATCCTAAACTTTGCAATCTCCCTCGAATCCAAAGACCCGAGGCCTAAACGTGCCAAACCCATATTTCCCGAGGGTCTCAAGTACTCAAGAATTGAATCCTCGGGAATTGTGTCACCACACGTATGCTATTCGGTTCGGGGGAAATACAGATGACAATTCAATACTTGCACCTGTAGGGTTTGGATTTACAAGGTCGAAAGAGCTCCAGCAAATTTCGCTCAATGCTAGGGCCAGGGGTTCTCAATTCCAGGTTTCGTGGATGGAAAGTTCATCTCGGTTTCAACAATGGACCTCTGGCACATTCACCACCATTCACTCTACCACACGCTGTCCCAGGCGGCCAAACCACCCAAACCGTGCTCTTTTTGGGGTTTAAGTCCATCTTAGTCTCTCTTCCAGAATAACCAAGGCTTAAAAAAAAAAAATAAACTTTACTATAAAGACCAAAACATAAAGCCCAAGAAGCTTAAAGTTCTTCGATTGGCGAAGTGAGTAGTCAACAACCAAGAAAACATTTTTACAGCCCGCAATCTCCTGCTTCCAGGCTTCTGGGAGGCCACTTATATAACTAGTGCAAGATTTCGTCACTGGAGCTTCGGGTGCCGAAAGGTCCGTAAAAGTATGGCAACAAGCCCAGCTACTCTGTAAACCCTTTGGGTTTAAGGTTGTAGGCCCAGAACCCTTCAGGAGGTTTTGATGACTGGAGGCAACACACTGCATCCTAAACATGGGTGCCCAAACCCTGAACCCTACACCCTAAATCCTAGACTAATCAGCAGATTTGCGGTGCCACAGCCCCCAAGCGTATCATAGTTCTAGGGTCCGACGTTGTGTTACTAAAGTCCTCTCATCATAGACCATACACCCTAAAACCGCAACCTACAGGCAATACCTGAAGCTTGACGTCCTCGAACTGTCGAATCCTCTACGATTCATGTACCAACTTGCTGGGCACTTTGTCCCAAGTACAGCACTCTACTATAAATTCTACGAGCCCCCAACCATCATCGCAAACCTTCCAAATGATTGAGGCCAGGAACCGCCATGATCTTCTAAATTGGCAGCTGAGGCTTTAACGAACCTCCTGGCTCCTTCTTTTGAGCCGCTGCTGTACGTTTCAGGGTACGCTTTTCAATTTTAGCTTTATGTTCCGTGCACTAGGCTCCATGTTAATTTGGGGAAGGGTATGGGGCTTCAGCTTAACAAAGCTTGAGCACGCTGTTTCTTGGGATTTTTGTTAGCGGCTTCAAATGCCTGGCTAAAGACCCTAGGCCCTAAACCCAACAGCCACCCGGGTCGAGGGCGCAGGCGGTGTATATAGTGTCAGTCTCTCAAGTCTGGGGCAAGAATGGAGGTTTGAGGCTTAGGTTGGGTTGGGCCCCGAACCACTAGTGCTGACCACAAGGGATAAGAGATTTATAGGGATTGCATGTAGGGGCATTAGACCGTTCAGGCATTTAGCTTATAAGGTTGGATCAACGCGCTCGTGGTATGGGTCCAAAACCCTAAAAACCCTAAATCCTGAATCTTGAATTTCTGATATACTGAGCGTCTGCTCGAAAACCCAACAAGCCCACTCAAGGGCCCACCAAGCAAGAGGTACGACACCACATTATTGGCGTGAGTGTGCGGGGGCCCTATAAAAATCAAGTGTTCAAACCTACCCTTGTGGAGAGATTCAGGACATCGTCGAGATGAGACGTAACCTGGGAGGGTAGGTTGTTGCAGGGCATCATACGGATGTAGTCCCCCTTAAGCAGATAGATACGGGGTATATGGGGATCTTCTTATTATAGTATACACACAGCCATATTCTACCTACTTAAGGGGGACCGTACGTCCATCAACAGCAAGGGCCAGTAGACTCAGGACAGTTTTTCTTCGCGACGTCGCGGTGCGCCATCTGCTTGATCAAGTATGGCTCAGTTCGCCCTGTACAAGAAAGCAAAGTATATTACCCAAAACTATTGTTACCATAAACCGAAACCCTAAACCGCAAACCCAAACCCTATACCCCATATAAACCCTACACCCAAGGCCTACACCCGATGCATACGGTAGCTTATAGTCTCTAAGAAACTCTAGAACAGGATATTATGTGCCAGGTTGTAGGTTGGGTTTTTCCCTACCTCACCACTGAAAGAGAAGCCGACGTCCACGGAAGCGTATGGAAGCGTTCGATGTGCCTGGCCGCAGATTGCAAGCTTCTCAGACAAAACCATGCACAAGCCGTGTGTGATGCCATGATTTCAAAGGTCTCAACCCCTATACCAAGGACTATGGGAAAATGTTTAGGGAGTATCATATGATGACGAATTTGTAAACCGAAGATTCTGCAGTAAGGAGCCACCAAGAGTCAAATGATAGTCATGGGGGTCGGGCAGTCAAAATCCACCCTAAACCTCTATCTAAACCCCACAAGTATGTAAAATAATAGCCCTAAACCCCCAATAATGGCCATAAACGCCATTATTTTACATACTTTAGGGGTCCAGGTATCCTAATCCCTAAGCCCCAGAAGGGATTGGAACGGCGGGCGCCTCTTCCTAAGCACAGGAGAGCCTTGGGTTTAGGGTTTAGGGTTTAGGGTGGAAATGTTTGGTGGGGGTGTTGGATGGCGGGAGTCGGAAGAGTTTACATTCGCAAGCGCTTTCGATCGGCGTTCACGCACCTGAGGAGAACGAAAGAGGGTCCTAGAACCCATGGCACGTTTCGAAACGCGGGTGTTACGAGCTTTTCCTAACTAGCCTAGGGCAGGCTGCAAACCCTAAACCCCGCAAACTAAACACTGCGCTGCTGTTCACGAACATGAACGAAGTCACCACAAAATGGGCGTATGGTAGAATATATGGTTTCCTTATAGCGAGAACTAGTTCCAGCTCCAACATTAAACCCCCGAATACGCTTTCGAACTTGAAGTTTTATGTTCGGCCTCTACGCGTCCGGGGGTTTAGCCAAAAAAAGAGACTTGACATCATGGGACATACAGTGTTATTATAGCCGATCTACTGGGGACTATTATTGGTTCCCTTTCAGGGGGTTAGATGAAAGGCTGTCAAGGTTATGGCCTCTTTCTTAGGGCTTCCTGATGATCAGGGGCCGAACTCATAGGAATTGTGGAGTATAAGGCACTTTAAATAGACCTGAACATGATATTGGTAATAATAGAAGGCATCATCCTGCCGTAGTCATAGGCCGTCTACGCGGGGGGCCGGGAGTGGGTGCGTACCACTGATTGAGATCCTCTGCAACCCTCCAACTCAGGATTAAAAATCTGGGCCCCCTAGCATGGGCCCTTACCTTTGGGGTCCCGGAAGGAGGCCTTATATGCCAGGAATGTACCCTATAGAACCCTATTAACCCAATTAATGGCCCTGGTAAGTTCAATCTTCAAATACAATGCCAGGGCTTGGATACAAAGGCTAGGGGCTGCTGAAAACCAACCGCCATCATCCAACAACCTGTAATAAATCCCTATAACTCCTGTGAAAAGCACCCTTGACTCTAGATAAGGGCACCTCGAGTTAGAGAATTCCCCAACTCTCTTCAAACTTAAAACCCCGACAAGGGGCCTAGGCTCCTGGCAGCCACATGGTAGGGCCGGTGGTGCCGAAGAAGGCATTCCTAAGATCAATCACCATTTGGCGCGCGTTGCGCGGACATGATAGCTAGTTGGAGCAGACCCATATGTAGAACAACAATCCTCTTCTTTTTGTTGGGGGGGGTGGGGGCAGGTTGGGTGAACATTCTATATAATCAGTTGGGGCTCACGTATATATACATATATATATATATTTGCGCCAAAAAGCTTGCAGCCCCATATACGGTTGGGGTAATCCACACGAAGCCAAATTCGGGCTTTGTGAGTTTAGGGTTTATGGTAACTCAAGGCCGGTAAAGGGGGAAATTAGGGAGGTAGCATGACGGTGTGGGGTGGTGGGGGAACCCATGACATGTGGGGGACCTCAGGGCAGGGGTGCTGCGCGAGGACCCTACTCTTCAATCACCGCTTCTAGAGATCCTAAAACCTTAAACCTAAACAGCTGCCGCTCTGTGTTTTTTACAGTTGTCCAAACGCCTTTGTGTTCGATCTCTCCCGTGGCCTTTACATGGCAGTTTCCCAAAATGGGGGGACCCCGATATAGACCCCAAAATACTATAATCCTTATTATAGGGAGCTAAAAATGGCACTCCTAATTTGGGGAATCCCACACATGGAAATCTGTCAAATTGCGACCGCAGGACCTCATAACGGCTTTTACGTTGACAAAGCAATAAGCCTGGACCCCCCCTGTTTCAAAAGAAGATGTACTGGAATTTCCACGGTCCAGAGACAATAGCAGATGCACATTTAGTCGGGCATTTGAAAAAGGGATCACCTTACACATTCCAAAATGCAAACCATCCCCATAGGGAGGACCCTCAACAAAGAGATCCCAATTTTGAGGACTTTGCCCAGGGTCTCCCAGAGGACCTCTGGGCCCCTTTTCGAGGCCTCCGGCACCTCCCCTTAGGCCCCAGGATCCCTTCCAACCTAGACCCTCCTCCTACCCTCTATTAGGGCCGAAGTAGCTACTATTGGGGACCATATATCTCCAATTAACGGTACAAGGAGGGTCCTGGAACATCATAAAGAATAAACACAAGTATGTGTTGTTGACAAATACGGGCCTAACTGAGTTTGGGTCCTAAAGCCTAAAATGGAATAGGTTCGGATGGCTTGGCCGCCTCAAACGGCGTGGTGTGGGTGATGAAAGAGATGGCCCCCCACAGGGGCCATAGCTGCAATTTGCATAGAACGATGCGCACGCGCACACATGTTCTCTGAAGCCTATAGCCATAACTGCCACCTGGCTCTTGCGCAGCAAACTCTCAACCCTAAACCCGCAACAGGAGCCGAGTCTCTGGGCAACCATGCCGGTGATGGCCACCATCGCCTTGGGGTCGCCGCATGAATTAGGTTTTAGGTCTTAAGGTTTAAGGTTCAGGGTTCACGGGTTATAGGGGTCCAGGGCTGCGAAGGGTACGTTGCAAGCCCCCTAAAAGTAATCTCCCTCATAAAAGCGCGAAAACGGAGCCATTTCTGGCAGGGCCACCAATCGGCCGTTGTTCAGCTCGGCCTCAAGCGAGCGCTGGTTGCCGGAAACATCCTTGAGCTTGCTTGGCCCTCAACCCTGAACCCTAAACCGCTTAGGGTTTAGGGTTTACAGGGTTCAGGGTAGGAGATGCTCAGGGACCCTCTGAAGGGACTATAGGGATCTTTGTGGCTCAGGGCTTGGGATTTAGGATTTAGGCTGCTTAGCTTACGGCTCAGAAGAAGTTTAGGGACCGTTTTAAGAGGTCATAGGGACATTTGGTGTTTGGATTTTTGGGTGTTTTTCTGGTATGGCCCTAAACTCAAACGTTTGTGGGATCCCTTCAACTGAGGGTTTTGGGCTTGAGGTCCTTGAGTATTCTTGGCTTTGGTTTTATGTATATTGTCCCTGTAAAGGGATTCTGTAGGGGCCGTACCTAAACTCTCTTCCCCAATAACCACGGCTTAGCAAGTTGAAACTTTAACATAAAGACCAAAAAATGAAGCCCAAAAAGTTTAAAGTTCTTCGTTTGGCTAAGTAAGAAACCCTATATAACCCCTATAACCCCTATATAACCCCCATAACCGCTATACAACCGAGCATTTGCAGGGCTCGGGGGTTCATCCTACCAGCGCGTTAATTACGTCGGAGGCTGTTTCCTTGGGGTTTAGGGTTGAGGGTTTGGGGTTAGGGTTTGGGGTTTAGGATTTAGGGTTGAAATTACGGAAACCCGAAGCAATGGTAAGTTTATATGGGCTTGAGGATTTGGGGTTTAGGCTTGAAGGTTTGGGGTTTAGCGTTCAAAACCCTAAACCCTAAACCCGGAACCCCTGAACCCCTAAACCCCTAAACCCCAAACCCTAAACCCCATCAATACATAAAGGTCGTCCCGAGGTGCAGCTTGTCCCTTGCCACCAGGAAGGCCGAGCTTGGAGAAGCCAACAAAGTCACCGGGCAGGCGATCCTTCTCCTGCCTGGGAGTAGGGCTTAGGGCTTACTAGGGTAGGTTTGGGGGCCGGATAATTGCTTCTTATGGCTTTGTAAGAGTGGTATAGGGATTTTAAGGGGATCAACAATTAAAAATCATGATCAAACCTGCCCCGGCTTAGCGTTTAGGGTACTTGGAGGTGCAGGGCAATTACAACCCAATTTTAACCATGTTAGGATTTAGGGTGCTGACATTTGGGCGACAGGTGCAGTTGACGCACCAAGTGATTAGGGCTGCTTACTCAGAGCCTCCTAGCTGAATAGGGATGTATATATATATATATGTATGTATATGTATATATATATATATTTTTCATACAAGGGATATAGAGGGATGTATAGGTTTGTTTGGGTGTAGATGGTTTAGGGCCTAGGGCTCGAGGTTGAAAGTTAAGGTTGTCCTGGCATGAGGTCTCAAAACATATTGTAGGAGCTGGAAAATTGGACGATGTCCCCTCTAAAGGGATAATGCTCATATAGTGCTAGACTCGGAGATATCGAAATATGCGCGTATATATGTGTGTATACGTATACTTATATATATATATATACAGCAAGGACCCTAAGACCCCAAACCAGAAACCTTAAACACCTAAATCCTCAAACCTTAGGTATTCCCTCTTACAGTTGCAGCTGACAGGGTACTATAGGAGCTATAATAGTTCCCTCAATTAAAATGGTCCAACCTCGAAACTGAAGCCTTGGATCATTCCCTCAAAATAGCTGTTCTTGCAGAGGCTGCCTTAGGGAGGCTATGGTGACTCCGATGATTTCTTGTGATAACTGTTACTGTAAGCGTAAAGGTCCGAATTTTCAGGACTCCGAGAAAAGCGTGGAGGTGTAGAGGTTCAGGGCTTACATGGCTTACCTGGGCACGTGTCAAGTAGGTGTTCTCATGGCCCAGAGCCCGACAAAGAACCAACAAGGCAATTCATAAGGCTCAAAAATGGGTGAGCAATTGCCCAAAGCACCAGGAAGAACCAAAATGGCAGTGGTTCTGCAAAGTGTACAGAATCAGGTAAGCTTTGGGAGGCCTGGGTATGGTACGAAGATTCCACACCTGTGGCAACTCATTAATGATAAGGTTTAGGGTTCAGGGTTTAGGGTTCCGACAGAATAGCTCTTTTCAGCCAGTATGCTACATCCCTATCCCTCAACTTTACACCCCAAACTCTCCAGAACCCTTAACCCTCCCAGGACCCCGCAACCACCCAGGTGAATCCTAATTGTGGGTAATTGTTATAAAATGTAGTCAGGGGTCTTGGTCTAGAACCCACCACCCACCCAACACACCCTAAACCCTAAACCCTAAGCCCTAAACCCTGCCTCATGGGGAACAGCTCCAGGAATCCGATGAACACCGCAATCTGGGCCCAGCCCTGACCGTTCCAGCTGTTCTGTTTTCAAGGGCTGGGACTCCCTTAAAGGGCCAGGACCCTCCTTGTACCCTCAATTGGGGATGTATGGTCCCTAATAGTGGGTACTTAAGCCCTAATAGAGGGTAGGAGGAAGGTCTAGGGGGATACAAGGGTCATATATGCATATAGAGGTTTTGATTGACCCCCTTTAAAGAAGACATAGTGGTCAGATATGTATCTGTAGGGATGTTGAGATTTTTGAAGATATTCAGATTGCTCTCTGAGTGCAAGTTGTTGTGCGAGGCCCTCGCCCGAAACCCGTCCCTGGCTCAGCTGCTTGGCGACGCCTTGCATACAATTTCAGCGTCGGTCAATCTCCAAACTCCCTGGCAGCCTGGGAGAAAACATACTTTCAGCTGGCTCTAAGGATTGTAGATGAGTAAAGATAGCAGAAATTAGAGATCATGTTCAAGGAAGTTCCACGAAAAAAACCTTGGATTGCGATGATGTCTGCAAAGCAAGTGCTTCGCAACCAAAGCCTCAACAGCACTTCTTCAACTGGCAGGGCCCCCATGATACGTAGTTCCTATGTGCGGGTATTTGCGCTCTATACAGAGGACTTGGGGGTGTAGGGAGGCTCTAAGGTTTAGGGAGCTTGCCCATCCGTTCCGCAAGGGGTCCTGTGCTCGGAATGAAGGCGCCGTTGCACTGGAGTTTAGGGCCTAAACTCTAAACCAGTACGGACTGTACTCTAAACCCTAGATCCCAAACAATGTCCTTGGGCGTGGAGCCCCCGCTCCCTACGAATATAAGACGACCCTACTAAAATCACCTTAAGCCCTTACCCTAAAATTAAACCCCTATCCCTTGCCCTAAAGCTTAAACCCTAAAACCCTAAACCCTAAAACCCTAGACCCTACAACCCTAAACCCCTGTAGTATCCCTTCTTGCCTCTGCCGGCATCTTGTACAAGGCCTGGACGCCGTTGGGGATGTCAGCGAACTTCAGATCTGTCAAGGGCTTAGGGTTGTAGGGTTTTGGGTCTTAGGATTTAGGGATTCAGGGCTTTCGGGCTCAGGGTTTAGGATTTTAAGGTTTTAGGGTTTAGGATTTTAGGGTCTTAGGGTTTTTGGGTTTTAGTGTTTTATGTTTGTAGTCTTAGCGGTTTAGTGTTTTAGGGCTTAGGTTTAGAAACGAAGGTTTCTCAAATTGTTGGCTCCCTTCTCAGGGGCCCCTCTTCGACCCCCCCAGTATCTTCTATAGAGCCCAAAATTGTCAACAGAAAGCACCTACATAGACCCTTTTTACGGAAAGTGTGGGGGTCCGGGTTGTACTAAGAAACATAGTTCTTCAGTGCATGTAAGGGGAACTCAAGATGGAGATTAGAAAGGTTTAGGGTTTAGGGTTTAGGGCTACGCGCAATAGCTAAGTTTAGGCTTTAGGCTTTCGCCCCCTATGATGTGTCCAGCGCGCTTGGTGAAGCCCTAAACCCTCCACCCCTCCTGAACCCTAAACCGAGGCTAAGGACTCACAAGACCTCCCTGAGGCCCTAAAGCCTTCCTTCTGCTCCATTTGGCGTCTGGATCAGCCCTCAAAACGTCCTTAGCAAACCCCAAAAACTAAACCGGAAATCTATGGTTCATGAGCCCTACACTAAGAACACCAAAGCCGAAGCCTAAAACTAAACCCCAAGCCCGAAACCTAAAACCCCTAAACCCCCAAGCCCAAATCCCCAAAACCCCTCGCCGCCAGCCCACATGTGAGCTTTAGTCTAAACTCCTAGTATCCCCCTTACTAACTCCCATACTAGTCCCCTATATAATCCCCTATGTAAACATCCTTGAAGGAATTTAGACCCTAAACCCTAAATACTAAACCCTAAATCCTAAACCCTTAACCCTAAGCCCCTAAATCCTAAACCCTAAACCCTAAATCCTAAACCCTAAGTCCCCCATAGACTCCCTATAGAGTTTAGACAATAGCCCACATGTAGGCGGCCAAGCTGGCCTGCGCTAGGGCTGCAGTAGCCAGGCAGACGGAAGTACCTTGCTGCTTTGTTTTTGGGGGGATTGTAGGGGGCTTAGGGTTAGGGTTTAGGGTTTACGGTTTAGGGTTTCCAAATTAGTAGGCCCCCTCCCCTTCATGGGGATTAGAATAGGGATCCTAATATGAAGGCCCTTAAAGGGAGGCGGTTTATTAATCAGGGGTCTACATATGGGTTTTGAAGTTTAAGATGTAGTGTCTAGGGGTTAAGGAATGAAAGCTTGGGGCTTACGGCTGGGGGGCCCGTTTACAAGGGCTAGAGGCTGGTATGAGGATATCTCATAAAAAGCTTCTGTAGTTGTGCCGTATCTCGGGCTCTCCCTAAGTTGACATTCTGGCTTGTATGAGAGTTTTCCGAAATCTGAATCCCCTTCTATACCCCAAATTCTTAGATACTTACCCTAAACCCTAAACCTGGGAGCCCAAAACAAACAACCACTTTGGTCGTCGACCCGCACAACCCCAGACCCCCGTCAGAGCATCTTAAAAGTCGATCCCCTGAGTTGACTATAAACCCGTAGTAACTCCTAATGTAGACCCCTGATTAATAAACCCCCTCCTTTTAAGAGCCTATATATTAGGATCCCTATTATAATCCCTATTAAGGGGAGGGGGTTTATTAATCATGGGTCTACATTATACAACCCTAAGGGTCTAAGGACCCAAAGGATGGGGTGTTAGGTCCCAGATACCATTAATATTATAGTATTTGGTCCCTAAATTCCGTCCTTGGACACTTAGGGCAATCTAATACTAAACCCTAAACCCTAAACCGCGTTAAAGGTTACCCACTTCGTTCACCAGCTTTACAGTTTCATAGTTCCTTAGTTTCCGTGATCGTAGAAGTATATGAAACCCAAAAAATTAAAGTCGTTTAAAGGTTGCCTTCTCATCTACTACTTACGGTTTTTGGTCTGGGCCAGATAATTCGGACATGAAGATTGGTTGATTTCTGCGTTTTCCCCACTACTTGGTCTTGGGGTAAGGGGATACTGATATTCCAATTTCCGGGCTTCTTATGGCCTAAGCCAAAACCCTCAGCCCCAAGTCCTAGATCCTAAGCTCTAAATCCTAGACCCTAAACCAGGCTCTGGTTAAGGTGCGTTGGGGGGGGGGTCAAGGTGCCCCTTGGATCCTACAGTTTAGTGTTTATAGGCTTAGGGTTTAGGTTACCCACTGAAGGTTGTGCTAAGAAGTGATTTGGTGCGCAGTTCAGCTCGGGAACCGGAAACAATGAACTTTCAACCTCACGGAGCATTGTGTTCAAAGTGTTACTCCTATGTGGCGTGGCTCCATCTATTTGGATTCTAGCGGCGAATGTGTGCAATTTCCTGTAGCCTGTAAGTAAGGAATTTGTATCGTTAGGGTCACGGGTTTACCTTTCCAACCCAAGACTACTCAAATCCGGGAAGCTAGGGTTTAGGGTTTACCATTTCCTGTAGACTGTATAAAGGAAAGGCTTTCAAACTTAGAGTTGATGGAAATATCCTGCATGACCTAGGTCATTCCCCGTTGCAATAATTTGGTGTTTCCCAAAATTAGGGGTACCATTTCGGGGGTCCCTATAACAAGGATTGTAGTATTTGGGGATATTTATTGTGGCCCCCCCTATTTTGGGAAACTACCTATTGTTACTACAAAAGGTGCGTTAGAGGTCAAAATAGCCCCTAGTGGCATGCAGGATTCTTTCCAATAACCTTGGTATTGGTTTAGGGTTTAGGGTTTAGCGATGATTGGGAACCAAGCCCAAACCCTAAACCAAACAAAACTAACATTGAGTTTCGAGATGCCCAAACACATGAGCTATAGTCTACACTCCTAGTATCCCCCTTTATAATGGACAAGGGCATGGAAAATGAAATGAAAACTGCTATATAATATGTAGGATTATGAAGGAGATTCTAGAGGTTGTAGTCTTAACTCCTAGTATCCCCCTTAATAACCCCTATAATAGTCCCCTAAAAGATCCCCTCTATCTATCCCCCTTTAAGGAATTTAGACTATAGCTCACATGAATTACGTCTCAAGACCAGGTGTAGCCGGAAACCAAGGATCCTTCCACACGAGGAGATCGATTCAGAGTTGTGGGTTTAGGGCGCTGATCTGTACCCAGTGGCTCCTGTGCAGTTCCTTTAGGGCTTAGTGCTTAGGAGGGTTTAGGGTCCTGTGCAGTTCCTTCCTGAGCGTATTATGATTCGGGGTAGAGGCGTATCCTTAAACCCTAAACCCTAAATCGCATCTAAATAGACAACTCCATAATCAGCCCTCAAGAACCACTTTCTACAAACGCTGCTGAGGCCAGATACTCTGGGGCGATATAGCCAATGGTAGCCAGCATGGCAACGCGTCCTTGCTTCTGTAGTTATGAGTTTATAGTCCCCTTAGAATATAGGGGTTACATAGGGATAATGAAAAAGAAAATGGAAACTACTATTTAAGGTTGAGGGTTTAGGGTATAGTCCCCCTTAAGTAGATAGAATATGGCTTTAACAAGATCCCCATATACACTATGGTCTATCTACATAAGGAGCCCTAAATCCTAAACCCTTAAGGAGGACTATATATAGGGCTATGAGGAGTTTAAGATCGAGCCCCTAAGAGGTGGTCCGAAGCAAACTGAACCCCAGCTGACATAAACGCCATTGCAAACTTTAGGGTTTAGGGTTCAGGGGTTTAGGATTTAGGGTTTAGGGGTTTAGGGTTTAGGGTTCCGTTCATCACCGCAAGATGTTGGTTGACATATTAAAGTACGGAGTGGAGACATGTCGAAACACCTTGCCGTCCCAGAACGAGTTCATGATTTGGACCACTACGCATTTCCGCGAAATCCACTGTCCATCTCATACCCATGGGATTGAACCTCAACATCCCTTAGCCCTAAACCCCTAACCCCCCAACCCGTAAACCCCTACACCCCTAAACCAACTCTGAGGGGCAAGTTTCCATAACCCTCAGGGTCCAAGGACCCAAATAACAGTTTTTCAAGGCCCAAATACTATAATATTAATAGTATTTGGGCCCTAGAACCTTATTATTTGGGTCCTTGGACCCTTAGGGTAAGTAGGGGACCCAAATATAGGGTCTCTACTAGCCCAAGAGATGCCGTAGGGTTTAGGGCATAGGGTTTAAGGTTTAGGAATTTGGGTCTAGGATTTAGGGTTTAGGGTATAGGGTTTAGGATCTTGGGTCTAGGGTTTAGGATTTAGGGTTTAGGATCTAGGGTTTAGGATCTAGGGTTTAGGGTTTAGGATTTAGGGGATCACGCTGGCTGCCTATCAAGGACTATTTGGGGATTGTTTTCTAGCAGTTTAGAATTTAGTCAGGCCTCATAACCTAAACACCCAAAGCCTACCGACAGTAACCAATGTAGCTATGCAAAAAGGAATTCGTACCTACAATACTTTGGTTGCTTTACCCTGTTTAATGGTCTAGGTTGCTCTAGGCTAGGCAAACCCGACAAGCCCTAAATGCTCCTCTTACTGCAAAGGCCGCAGGAATTTAACTTAGGAGCAGCACGCTGCTACAGTCTGTCAGAAGCCCCGAAGTAGTCCAAAGCCCAACTACCAACAAAAAGGACCCCGAAATAGACCCTTTTCAACGTTAGCTGGAGGGTTCTGGTATACTCACAGCCCTAGGGCTCCAAACGGCCCAATGTAGGTACCATTTTATAGGCATTGGGGCCCAATCTGCGTCATCTTTATAGACATGGAGCCCCAGGACAAAGGTTCAGGGTTGCCCTAAACCTAAAACCCTAAACCCCAAACCCTAAACACTAATCACGGGTTCAAGTAGTACCCCCCTCTATACTTCCCCCCCTAGGTTCCCCCTTAATTAACCGTAATCAAGCCTAATTATCCCTAAATAATCTGCATTAAGGGGGAAAACCAGGGGTGGTAGTATAGAGGGGGGTACTAGTTGAACCCTAAAGCCCTAAATACTAAACCCTAGAGCTGGCAGGCAACCTCAGATACGGCCCTACGTAGACTACGGCTCTTTAATCAAAAGTGTATAGGGGTTTATTACCGTTCCTTAGGGTTTGGAGTGAGTGTTATTTTGGTTTTGAAAATTTGAAATTTTGAGATTAAGGGAATTTGGGAACCCCGAAGCAGTGGTAAGTTTACATGGGCTGGAGGGTTTAGGGTTTGGGGTTTCACGCTAAGCCCTAGACCCCTAAACCCTAAACCCTAAACTAGGGTTTATGGGGGCTCAGGACTCTCCCTGTTCTTCTGGGGGAGGGCAAGTCAGAACCATCACGAGGATAGGTTTGGGGAGGTGACTACAATAATTACGGTTTGTGGCTCTACAGGGAATATATGTATGCATATATACATATAGCTGTCTATTTGTTTATCTAAAGTGCAAAATACCTATACATATATATATATATACACATACATATGTAGGTTTGGGTTTTAAGCAAAAGCTAAACAAACAACATTTGCAAGCGTACCTCTAAGTCAGCTCAATCCGCTTACCATGACAGTTACCATTGCTGATAATCGGAATTATACTAGCCCCTTCAAGCCTCTTCAAGGACAATGACTGTAAGGGGGAAATGATCCAACCTCTAACCCCTAAACCCTAACCTCTAATCAGCAGCGGCTCCATTCTTGATCTCCGACATTCGGCGGCGGCGGAAGTCATCGGCATCGTCGTCCTGGACAAAAGGAATTCTGGTTCTAGGATTAGGGATTCGGTTTTTTTGTTTTAACCCCTCGGACTTTTACGCCTGCACGAGGTGCAAGGGGAAAAATCAGTTTGCGTCCTTGGCACTTGCACCGTCTGGCTTACGAGGGATTCGGGTTTAGGGTTTAGGGTTCACCTACAGACCCTAGACCCTTAAGAAAGGTAAACATGCCAAAGTATTACAACAATTCTGTTTATTCTGTGTGTATATATAATATACATAGTATGTTTTACAAAGATGTATACCAAGATACCTAGTATTATAGGTATCTTGGTTACTCTAAGCTCCACAACCCCCAAAGCAAGGACCCTTTAGGTCATGGCATGTCTAGGGTTCAGGGCTTAGGTCTAGGACTGGCATTAGCGACTAAGCTTTTCTCACCCATGTTGAGGGTGCATGTGGTTTGCTATTCATTCCGACAAGGCTGCACGCGGAGTACGAAATATAGCACAGTAAGTCCTTGACCGGGAATAGAACTCCTCTCCCGGAGAAAGAAGTGATGGAAACACCACAATCATATGCCAACACGTACTCAAAAAGCATGCAGACCAAACACGTGCATTTGAATGTTTGTAGTATCTGGATTGACATACCTTTTTCCACATGTCCATACACACATGCATATCCATATACACAACTCGTAACTGGCTATCAACCTCTGTGTGTATGTATATACACCTTGCTATACACAAGTATCAACCCTAAACCGCTTCAAGCCCTAAACCCTTAACCCTACATGAATCTTAAAGCGCCCTATGAACCCTGCAAGCGCCGCAAACTCTGAAATGAAGCCCTAAACCCGTTTGAGGGTTTGGGGCTTAGGGATTTAAACCCTCAACCCTAAACCTTTAGGATTTTTAAACCTACGAAACCCTACCCTAAACCCCAAAGTATGTAAAATAATAGCCCTAAACCCAAAATAACAGCCATAAAGGCCATTATTTTACATACTTTTGGGGTCCGGGTAAACCTTGAACCCTAAACCTTTAGGGTTTTAAACCTACTAAACCCTAAACCTTTTGGGTTTTAAACCTACTAAACCCTAAACCTTTAAGGTTTTTAAACCTACTAAACCCTAAATCTTTAGGGTTTTAGGGTTGTAGGGAGCCTTGGCCATGCCCAGAGGGTCGAAGTATTTCATGGGCATGGTGGTGCCAAGCTCATTCTCGAAGGACTTGCAAACCTCAAGGTTTAGGGTTTAGGGTTTAGGGTTAGGGTGCAGGGTTTAGGGTGGTCCCCTAGAAACCTGGTAGAAATGATCGTCTCAGCTGGTTTTGAGGAACACCTAGCAACTCTCAGTCCAGGTAGGGCCCCTAACCACAATGTTTTTCCATAGAGCTCAAACCCTTCACAAGCAGCCTATACATAGACCCTCTTTAGGGTTAATTAGTTTGGGGGGGTCCGGGTAGGATTTAGGATTTGCATGGGCCATCCAACCTAATTCCTTTTTGGTTTTGGGCTTGGCATGTTTTTCGTCAGTGTCTTGCCCAAAAAGGCACTACGTTGGCCGGTCTGGGTAGGGGTTTTGCTGCTTGGGCTTTAAGGCCCTAAACCCAAGACGCTAAAGTAGGTTTCAGGTTTTATGCGTGCTGGGCTGCATTAGAGCGCATTCCCAGGGCCTGGGCTTATGGTTATAGGGTTTAGGGCTCAGAATTCCGTGTTCTCAAGTTGCGGGCTCCGAACTTTCCCAAAATCATGGATCCTGCTCTCCGGGTTAGGTTGACTAGAAGGGTCAATCTAAGGACCTCCGCAGCGTCAGACAGTATAGGGCTCCGGGGTTCTCAAGAGGTTTAGGGTGTAATGTTTGGGACATTGTTCTCTTGCGGTAGCCCAGACAACCGGCAACTTGACAAAGTCAAGGAGAGCAATCATGCCGCTACAAGCAAACAACATGTCTGTAAAGTTATGCCGCTCCCGTACAGATCCATTTTTAGAGCTTCCGCAAAACTGTACACCCCAAACCCGAAACCCCTAATACGGCCCATGATTTTCATTATTCTTCAAGGTCTTCCCCGAGCTGAAACACCACATGTGAGCCACAGTCTAAACTCCTATGGTATCCCCCTTAATACTTGAGAATCAAATGGAAAGAAAACGGAAACTGACATGGAAACTGGGATTATATAGGATTATGTAGGGAATTATGGGGGATTATAATCTAAACTCCTAGTCTCGCCCTTAATAGCCACTACCTATAATCGTCCCCCGAATAATCCCTATATATCCCCACCAAGGGAATTCAGACTGTAGCTCATATAGGCTCAGCAATAGTCCAGAAAACTCTAGAGACGCTAGCCATATCTGACTGAAGTTGTTTTTGGCAACCCGAACTCCCAAAATTAGGTCCCTATTATAGGTCACAGGGTCCTGATTTTGGGAGTTAGGGTTGCCAAATTTCCACTTTTGAAGCCTAAACCCTAAACCCGAAGCCCTAAGCCCTAAAGGACTCTCATACCGTGCTGAAGAGGGACCTCGAAGAATCACCCCCAGGCAGCCACCGAATCGAGAAACACTACACCTTGGGTACTGCACCCCCCCCCGTAGCAGTCCATATTAAGGGTCCTATTAAGAGCTATATATCACCAAATTATACTTATTATCCAACTGTTACTGAGTGGGGGCAGTACCCAAACTACACCCTAACTTCCCAACCTCATCGCCCAAACTGGGAGCCACAGTGCCCCTGATGGTGCCCTTTGGGGAAACCCTATGAAATAGTGGAGACTAGGAAGCATTTAAACCCAGGCATTTGATTATTGAGGTAGGGGTTCTTCTTGTAAAGAAGTTCAATGCCTATAGTTAAATGCTTCCTAGGGTTCCTAATGAACACAAACATAACAAGTAGAGTTCTATGCACGTTGGGGTCCCCTACTTTGCGGACCACCCCCACCCCCCCTGGTCCATTGAAACCGAAGGGGACTCCCAGATATTTATAACCACGGAACTGAAACCCTACGTAAACCTTGAGCCCTAAAGCCCAAAACCCCAAACTTACTGGTTCTTAGTAGGGAATAGCTACGGGAATCTCCTCCCTGTATAATCCGTATTTGATACATTCCCTTCTTCCCTACTAAGAACCAGCAAGCAAACTAAACCCTGACCCATGATTAATAACCCCCTCCCCTTAGTAGGGATTATAACAGGGATCCTAGTCTTAAGGCCCTTAAAAGGAAGGCGTGTTGTTAATCATGGGTCTACATTAAACCCTAAACCCTAAATAGTGTTTTCCATTGTACTTTCCATTGTCCCAATATAACCCCTACATAATCCCTGTATAATCTCTATGTTATCCCTATATAACCCTAAACCCTTCCCCTGTAGAACCCAGAGCCGTCCTAGACACAGAACCCCTACACCCTAAACCCCAACCCCCAAAACCCAAAACCCTAAACCCTGAAAAACCCTAAACCCCATTAAACCCTTAACCAATTTGTCGCAGGGGCCGTAGTGGAAGCCTTGCGGCTGCGAGCGGCGCAAACGCCAGCCGCAAACAGCGCGGCGCCGGCGGTGGTGGAGAGGCTCCTCTCTTTGGCTTAGGGTTTAGGGGTTAGGGATTTAGGGGTTAGAGTTAAGGAGTTAAGGATTCAGGATTAGGGTTTGGAGTCAAGGGTGTAGGGTTTAGGGTTCAGAGTTCAGGGTTTTAGGGTCTAGAGTTAAGGGATTAGGGTGTAGAGTTAATGGTTTGTAGTCCCCCTTAAGTAGATTATGGCTTTGGGTATATTGCAATAAGATCCCCATATACCCCATATTCTGTCTACTTAAGGGGGACTATAAGGGTTTAGGGTGAGGGCTTAGGGATCAAGGTTTGGATTGGGTTCAGGGAGGCGTGGGAAGTAGATACTACTGGGTATAACTGGCACCATGTGAGCTATAGTCTAAACTGTTTAAAGGGGATTATACAGGGGATTATATATGCATGTAGGGGACTATTCTGGGGGTTATTAAGGGAGGTACTAGGAGTTCAGACAATGGCTCATGTGGCTTCTTACAACGGTGCAACGGGTCGAAAACGCGCGCCGGGAGGCGCGGGAGGTATGCAGCAATGTCAAAATCACTGGCAGGCGTGGCATATTCTGCAGT